TGTTGAGGAAGCCAATAAACCGCCCAGAAATTGAGATCCCCCCTCGCAAACGACGCAGAATCACAGTCGATGAAGATGAGGAATCAGAGGATGCCGAAGATAATGAGCCAGCAGCCAAAAGAATTACTTTCCGACCAGAAGTTGACGAAGATGAAGACGATGAAGACGACGATGATTTTGATCCAACTGCAGACAATTACGAGGATGAGGACGAAGAAGAAGAGGAAGGGGAAGAAAGCGACGAGGAAGTCGCGGATACAGAAAGTCGACAATTAGTTATTCATGCAGATTTCGAGGATGACGATGAAGAGAGCGATGACGAGGTTGAGAAAACAGACGACCGACAACTCGTCCTTCATGCAGATTTCGAAGACGATGACGAAGAAGACGATGAAGACTTTGAGCCAGGATTGGAGGAAGAAAATTCAGAGGATGACGAGGGAGAATTTGAGGGGTTTCAAGATGACCAGCCCAACTCAACTGCTCTCGATAACGAAACGGAAAAATCTGGCGATGTTGACGAGCTATCTGCTGCCGACCGGGCTGTCCTCTCAAGTGTCAAGAACCCATCAACAAGAGCAAAAATTTTCAAATTGCATACTGCTTTTCCCAACGCCTCCATGTCAGTTGTCAACTTTGTTTTAAAAGGTTCTGATGGAGACATATCCCATGCCTATGAGGCTCTGGTTCGAGGATACGTTCCTGCCAAGCCGAAGAGCTCTATCTTACAATTATATCCTAATCGCCCCAAGTCACCGAAGGTCTCGTCTAAAGCCCAAGTCTCTAAAGGCAGTGAAGCAGAAATTACATCCAAGCAAAATGGTCCGGCATCAACCAATAACATGGATTTAGACGATGAAGAATCCGGCTCGGAGGAGGAGGAGGAAGACGCGTTACTTCAACACTATGATCAGCACGGCTTACCGCCAGGTTCGATAACTTCAGGCAAAGCATTATCTTATATGGCTGAAGCTATGGAGAGTGCTCCCGACTCAAAGCCAAAACATACCAAGTTTGAAACCGGTCCAACGACCATTTCTACTAGTAATGGTAGCACCTCTGCAGGTAGAAATTTGAGCAACGGGCTTACCTCTACACCAGCAATAGATCTCAGGCCGAATGATGATGAAATATCAATTGATAGTGACAATTCCTCGGAATCGTCTTCCGAAGCGGATTCAAGCAGCAGTAGTGATGATAGCGATGATTCGTCTAGCGGAGACGATTCTAGTGAGGCTGCCGACTCATCATCCTCATCGTCTGATAGTGATAGTGATAGCGATTCTTCGAGCGATGATGAAGCACCGGAAGTCAAATCAAGTAGACAGGCTGCGCCAGTTTTTGAAGCTGCTAAGCCAGAGTCTAACCCATCTACCGGCAAAGTTCTTCCAAAACCACGAGTTCCTGTGCCTCCTAAACAGGGCAAGAAAGCAACGCACTCCAGGAATCAGCGTCGTAAACAGGGTATCGCTCTTGCCAAGCTTAAAGAGCGAGGTATTCTTCCAGAGGACACTAAAACGGCTGAATTCAACCAGCTAGAAGTCAATGATAGCACTTCTCCCGAAGAAGCATCTGCCGCGCTAGCAGTATTGAGAGCCAACGCCAACTCTGTCAAAATTCAGAATGGAACAAAAAAAGCACTCTCCGAAGCCGATGAGTTTGAGGCTCGTAGACGTGAATTGCTTGCGTCTCTTGCATCCGGCGGTATCGAGGTGTCTCCGATAACTGGTAAGACTGTAGTTGATACTATGGATGTCGATGTCCCCGAAATGGTAAGCAGTGCGCCTAAAGCTGGCAATGACGCTTCGAACCCCACTGAAGATCCCGATATCGCCAATGCGGATCTACAAGAGGATTCTGAATCCACGCCATCAAGTACAAATCAACAGGCTAAATCACGACGAGCGAAATTGGACGTGGGTGCCGGCCGTCGATTGTTATTTGGTGCACTTGGTATGAAGAACCCGAAGACTAAGAAGGACGAGGACAAGCTTCGCGACGACTTGATGAAAGAAGTCCGTGTTTCTAAAACTGTCAACCCACCTGAAGAAGTTCTTGCCCAAGAGACAGACGTTCTCGCTGTTAATAACGATGGATGGAGAGATAAGGTTGCTGTCTATCGAGCGGTCGAATGTTGTCAAGAAGGTGTTGTATTAAGTGAGCCTCCGTTTCCATTCGTTCAGCGATGGGATCCTCAGCAGCAAAATCATAGAGGTGGCAAGAAGAAGAACCAGGCCCAAGGGCATAATGAAGATTCACAAGGTTCAAAGAAACGAAAGCGACGCAATGGAAAGCAAACACACTCTGAAGAACGGGAGGAGTATTTTGACGAATCATACCAGCCAAGCTACGAGGAAGGAGTCACGGAGACACAATCGACGGAGCCGCCAGCGAGACAAGTTGAGAGTGTGGAGCTCAGGACTGACATGGGAGATCTTATTCAAGAAACTCCTGATCTAGTCGAACTCCCAGAAGATCCAGCTACTCTGCCAAATCTAGAACCAAACGTGGTAAAATCTGGTATGATCATTACCTTCAAGCAAATGCTTATGGACGAATCTACAAAATGGCAACCACAAATTTCAGCTTATCGTACAGCCTCCGTTCTGAATGTCGACGATAATGGTGATATCACAGTTTCTTTGGCAAGAAGAGACAGAGATTATCCGGTGAAGCATTACGATGAAAATGGAGAAAGGATTTGGGGAAAGTTTGAAATGCCTAATGAAGAAGAGGAAGAAGAGGAAGAGGACAATGGAGAAATGGTCATCACCTTCTACGAGCTTGTCGAACCGAAGATTGTCGCCTCTGCCCCAGTAAGCCTGTCTACCGAAATTTCCAAAAATGGCATGGCGACTGATGAATCCGTGACTTTAAGCAACGAAAACTTAGATGAAACGCAGTGCTCCCATGTCACAGAGACACAGTATTATGACACAGATCCACCAGCTCCCGCTAAAGCTGCAGACACAATCAGTACGCCACGCAATTCGAAGCTAGAGTATCTTCAAGCTGAAGCATTACCGGAATCAATCACTGATAATGCTAAGGAAAATATATCACATCTTATCAAGGAAGCTGGTTTTCGCTCTAATGTACCCTCCTCCATAGTCCGAGATTTTGCTCTCAACGATTTGGAAAAGGGTGAAGAAGCGCTTAAGCACGATGAAATGAGGACGGAGCCAATGGATGAAATTGACCAAACCTCGTTTTCGCCAAAATTCAATGGTTTCGGGTCGAGCTCACCGATCCGACAACCACAGTCAATTACTTCTCCTAACGGGCAACAATCGAGTTGGCACACTGTAGGATCCCAAGAACCTTCAAGCGTTTTAAACCATGATAAACCAGAAGTGTCTGCAAACCTAGAGTCTGATTCAACTATTCAAAAGGACTTGACAACAAGAGTGCCACAAGTAGTTCCAAACTTACAGAGCACTCATACCAAGCCAACCACTAAGAACATCGATGTCAACAAGGCTCAGGCATCGTGGGAAGCCCTTCAGCCGCGTAGAAATGTATCTAGTCCAGTTGAGACAGACCAAACACTTGACACGGTTGAGGTAGATTGTAGAGCAGCAGACCCAAAGTCATCGGGGCAATCATCATTCGCAAGTTTGGTCACTGACCATGGACGGCAACCAGATTTCAGTTTTGAGAATATACGAAACCAGGAACTTCATGACGCCAAAACAGATCTTACAACAATGGATATGGCAACACATGATGGCGATGAGCCTGAGCTTCCTCCACACCGATCCAATTCATCTAGCAAACCTGCTGAGGACGATAAGGCTGTACCTTCATCGGATGGTTTTCCAACTGTTGAAGAGTTTCTCAGCCAGCCTTCCCAGTCTTTGAAGAAGCCTGAGAAGAACGCTTCACAGCCTCCGCCAAAAAACCCGCAGGCTATCACTGGGACGAGAAAAACATTGACAGCATTCGACGATACACAGTCTTCAGCAATTCCGACAGACGATAAGAGTAAGAAACCGTTGGTGGCATTTGATGATTCAGACTCAGAGTCGGATACAGTGCAGGTGAAAGCCGAGCTCGAACCAAAGGGAACTGGAATTAAATCAAAGAAGACTATTGCTGCATTTGATCCATCTTCTGATGAAGAAGATCAGACCACGCCTAAAACATCTAAAGCACCACCAAGTTCGCAATACATGGATCTGACCCTTTCAAGCGATATAGAGCCCGAATCTGAAAAGGAGAAATTGAACGGCGAAGGCTCAAACAGGGGTGAAGAAATTCAGGTAGGATGGGGAGCAAAGACAAAAAGTAATTTGAGAGGATTAAAGAGACAAGGGAGTAATAGCTTGGGAGGTGCAACAAACACTTCTCTGAACACCAAAACTTCCAAAAAAAGGTTTTGAGCATGTTAGATACCAGATGCCGGAAAGTCAATGTCAAGATTCATTTCGAATGGTGTGCTATTTTTGGCAAATACTATTTGTAAAGAGAGAAGAAGCAGAGAATTATGCAGCAGCTAGCAAAATAGTAAGTTACAACAGGTAGCTACAAAAATAATACAATAACAGATAATTATTATTGACTTATTTTTGTATTCTCTGGACCTTTAAAACTGTGATCACATCGGACTTCATTCTGCTTTTGAGTTAGTTGTCTCTCCTCGTCAGTGGATAAAGGCGGCGCATGCATGCAGTGCCAATACCTACTTTGAATATTCTGCTTCTAACATTTCAGGAGTTATGTTCCTCCTTGATCTTCTCTTTCGTTATCAACCCTTTCCAGGTGGTTCATTTTGCAGTGTTCTTTTGATTTCCAACCTAGTTGTATGGAATTCTTTTTGTTTCGTTTCATCTCATCCTTGACGTATGTTATGCGAGACCCTCGTTTAGTCGGTGTTCAGCCAAGAACAATGCACTGGCTCTCGATTGTTCTTGCTTGCTAATAGGGTTTAGGATTTTTCTTCTAGAACTGTTTCTACCTCTCTCCACTCATTTTCTTTGAAGTCATATTTCTTGATTTCAAGATGTGGAAGATTCATTTAGTGTTGTGATACATTGATTCGCAAGTATGGGTTTAGATATCTTTGTTTTACTGAACACATGTAATCTTACATCTCTATGCAATACTGCGAATATATATCTCTTGTCGCAATATTCTTTCTGTTATTTTTGTATACGTACTCTTGTATATAGGATCTTGGAAACCTTTTGATATCAATTTTAGCTATCACTTCTTCTCGAGTACATTTATTCAAGAAACAGTCGGTCTAATACGTCTACTTCCAAAGAATCACCACATTATCCCGCGCCGCATATATACGAATTCTACCCCGCCAGTCATCATTTGTGTTTACCCAAAGAAACCTGCCCTCGATCTGGAATCACATGCTCAGTCCTCGAAGCTACATTCTATCTCTCGACGTTTCGATTCCTGAACTGACAATTTGAGTGTGAAACAAACAATCGTATATTCAAAAACGCCCCGAGTCCGAAATTGTCTTGTCTTCGAGTCAGTCTGAAGATTTGCACTTTCTGAAGTGCAGAATACGAGTTAAACTCGGCTCAAGACCCAACCCAGATACTTTAAAGAAATATGAAAATTATCTCACTACTTGTCGTCTGGAGTTTCTTGCCTGTTATCATCGCTTCGTCATTGTTGGCGCCGACACCGGTTTTCACGGGTACAACTACTATTCCTACATTGTCATCATCATCAGCGATTCCGTTCTTGATTCGGAAAGATTGGAGGAATGGGAATCCTAGGGAGGGATTTCAAGCTTCTGGATCGAGCGAAACGAGTGAAGAGGATTCGTTAATTACAACCGCGCCGAGTGTAGAGGATATTCAGCTTTGGGAAAAATATCATCAGACTACTTATTGGAGTTGTGTTACGCGGATGACTTTGGTTCATTGTGGATGGTATGTGTTTTCTCTTCTGTTGTTTGAGAGTGGGGAGTCGGATTTTGGATTGCGGTTATTGTGTTTGGCTTTTGGGTTGAGGAGAAAAGGGGAAATGGGAGATGGGATAGTGGTTTAGATTATAGAGAAATATATGCTAACTTCGGCTAAATAGGCATGAACCGATTCTTGCGGGAGGAACAGAGATTGCGGGAGCTTCTTGTGGATCGTGTAATGCTGGAAGAGTGGTTGTGATGGCCGCGGGAGCTGTGATTGTTGCTGGAGTTTTGTGATGAGAGATGAGGGTAGGTGTTAGATTGGACTTATTTTGCGGGAGGCGGTTGGTGTTTGGAGGGGATGTAGATGTGGAGGGAGTGGCAAGATTTTCATAAAGAGGTATTGCTGAATACAGAGTTTAAAATTTTAATTGTGCGAATTAATGAGAGTTTTTTCATATGGGTGGATTACTGACATGCGATGGAGTCAAATCGTTTTTGGGTAGATGGTTGGTGAGATACTATACATGTGAAGCCGGCCATGTTATTTGGGCCATGATACGACTAATTGAATATGAAATTTCATTGTAAGAATTCACTTACCAAGGTTCCCGGAGTTCATGAAGTTGGGAACAACGATTCACCTGAAACGATAAGAGTAAGTTCATTGGGAACTAGCACCTGAACCTTTTAAGCAATCTATCGTTTCATAATACTATTATTGTAACTCTTGAGGAAAAGGAATTTCCAGTATCAGAGTGAAAGAGATAGACTAGGAGAAGATGTTTGAAAGTTGGTAAAACCTATCAACTTTCAAGTACAGATGATTGAAGGGACTAGCACCAGTCATTGACGAAGAGCCCATCACACTACTTGCACAGAATTCCTTTAACAATTATATTTCTATAACACACTTAAGATCTCTCGAGTTCCCTATCACCTGCCCACGCCAACTTTCTCGTATCCAATCTCTCTCCCTCACCCCTCTTAACTTCCACAACCTTCTCTCCCGTTGCCCATCTCAACATCGTAAGCGAATGTTTCCCAAAAGTATATTTACCCTTCCCATCCCATTTACTTTCCTTGATACCCACTTCCTCCTTCTCCGCCGTATTTGTCACCTTCACATTATCTCCAGTGATCGTAAAAACCTCAACCTCACCCTTCACCCCCAATAAATCCGTTTCGAAACTCTCCTCCTCGCTCACATTCACAACACACAAACTAATCACTCCATCCTCATCTATACTTCCGGCTACATCCAACCAGCTCGCTCCTCCCTGTTCACCCACTACACTTCCCAGCCACTTTGGTTCCTGAACCCCTTCGTACGCTCCACCTCTCACATGGAGTCCTAGAGTCCATCCGCGCATATATTTACTATACAGCCATAATGGCCACCAACTCGTTTGTTTAATAATCCCATCTTTGCTTGTCATCAATGGAGAAATGACATTGACACTCTGAGCCAAATTTGCCATCCCCACATATCGACTCTGGCGAATAAAAACATTCAACCATACACCGACGGCCAGAGCATCGCTTAGAGTGTATTTTTCCTCGGCTCCCTCTTCTCCGGGAGCACGTAATGGATCCCAGACGTTCCATTCGTCGAAACAGATTTTGGGGACAGGTACCGAGGGGGGAATTTTAGCTTGGATGCGTGCGATTTGGATGAGGGAGGCGGCGGATTCGATGGCGGTTTCTGCTTGTAGGGGTGAGAGGGCGTTGGGGAGATGTTGGGATGAGGTACTGTAGATGTGGATACTGTGCATAGTTATGTGGTGAATATTAGGTAGTAACACGGTGAGATCCCAAGGTGAGAGACCAGTTTCACCACAGAGGATGAGCTGAAGGGATGGATCGAGGAGATGGAGAGCTTTGGACCACTGGAGGGCTTTTTTGGCGCTGGGTTGATTTAGTCTTGATTTCTTGGGGTGGGAGATGGAACGTACTAGTCTTCAGCAGTCATTTGCTCAACTTGCCACGGCCCCCAAACTTCGTTTCCTAGGGCCCAGTATTTGATATTGTATGGTTCTTCGTGTCCATTTTTTCTTCGAAGATTGGCATAGTAGGTATTTCGGGTACCATTGCAATATTCTACCCATGCCAATGCTTCGGTCAGTGTTCCTGTTCCCATATTGAGACAGAAATAGGGCTCGACTCGTTTTTCCTTTCCCTCTGAAAGAACACTAAGATAATGCATGAATTCATCAGTTCCTGAATACAGTTAGCTTCCGAGCCCAAGCGAACAAGTAAGGAGAACAAATACCAAATTCATTCGTCTCAGTTCCTAACCAGGCAAGTTCAGGTCGAGCAGGTCGATTTCCTCTAGGCCCAATGCCATCTTCCCAGTGATAAGTAGCGATGAAATTTCCACCAGGGTAGCGTATCACAGGAATATCGAGTTCGCGGAGCGCGCCGAGAACATCCGTGCGGTAACCATGTTTGTCGGAGAGAGGGTTTCCAGTATCGTATATTCCGCCGTAAATGCAACGGCCCATATGTCTACTACGTGTGAGCAGATATACAGGCGGGAGAAATAGCTTCAAGTTGAGATACATGTAATCTATCCCCTAGACCACGAGCTCGTGATGTGGGAAACTTTCAGGTGATGTAGAATGGAATGGTGTGAAAATGACATTGCATTTTCAACCGGTTGTGGTGTATACATGGACTTTCTCACTCGAGAAGGTCTAGTATCCAGGGGATGACAAGATTTGCACAGAATGCCATTTTTGACATTATTTGAAAATTGAACTATCTTGAAATACAGCCAAAACATAGTTAAGATGATGGCTTCTCGCTCCAACTTTCAGCGAGCACCACCATATAGAGATATTCTCATTCTAAACTCAGATCATGCGGATTCAGATGGCACTCTAGTTTTAGAAGAGATCAAACATATCCTCATAAGAACGCTGCCAAGTAGTCAAACAACACTAGACTTTGAAGATATACAAAAGTACCACTCACTCCATAAACCCTCCATATATCATAGGGTCTATTTCAAAGTCAGTATACCTTCATATCAATCAACTTGTAAAGCTCTCTCAAACATACCAATCTTCGACAACCTCCTCGACGCATCAATACTAATCGAAGGCGTCTCCCCATCGGGTATTCTCGTAAACGTCGTCATCTTCACAATATCTCTTTCCCTCGTCAAATCCGTGTCGTAATACTATTCCTTACCTCACGGGATGAAACAAACAACATAAAGCGCTGCCCACGGAATACTGCCATCTTAATAAACCTTGGAAGCGTCTAACAAGACTGAAGACAAGTCTCCCGTCTCCACCTTATCCACCTGATACGACGATATCGACTCACAAATCCACACGCACAAACCAGAAGAAGTGCGGGTAGCGAATCACCACTCTGCGCGCTCATTGGTGCGCATATACATTGCTCCGAGCCATTGGACGATGCAATCCGAAACTGCACGCGCCCTCCTGACAAGCGAGGCTCTCTGACTGGATGGAAAATCTCAAGCCACCAACAAGCGAGACTGTACGTCTCCGCACCCCACGTTAGGACTTGCACATCCTAGTCTGCTCACGCCCTCTATAAAATGCCTAGGTAGGTAGCAAGAGCAAGTCGCGGTCAATCTCCATAAATGCTTGGAAAACTTGCGAGAGGAAGGAAGTCATTACCGTACATTAATCGAACATGCAGATGCGTACCAATAGGCATTCTTGCGCCGAGGTATCCCTGCGTACTAAGATGCATAGGATATGCTCTGGGACGAATCACAACAAAGCAGTGGCTGGTTCCCACATGCGGAGAGCTAGAAGACTATCGTAGATTGCCATGTCGGGAGCTCCCAGGTGCCATTTCCCCAGGATCCCCGCATAACTAGCGTGTTATCATATGGCATGTTGTTGGTGTTGGTAAACTGTGATGTGAAGTGAAGAAATATAAGATGTGAAGATTTCCCTTGCGAAAGTTGATCCCTCTTGATCAGTATCTCTTCTCGAGAACATTTATTTAATTGATACTGTAAGCTTTCGAGCATTGTTACAGCCATGGTTCTGTCTCCAAAAGTTTATCAGGTAAGATTTACATGCTTGAACTCAGTGTTCGTGGTCTTCGCTAATACTGAATCACAGTTTCTCGTGGGTGTTTTCGCCTCAGTGGGTTCTATTCTTTATGGTTATGATCTAGGTACGTATATTGTATACTCAAGACTCTGGTTGTCAGCTCTAACAGTAAATTAGGTGTTATCGCCGAAGTCGTTGCAAGTGAAACATTCGTCGAAAGATTCCGACCAACTTCAACAGAAATGTAAGAGGCCCTCTTCCAGTGATACGATACAGAACTAACTGGCTCAGTGGTATCGTAGTATCCTTCTTCACGGGAGGAGCATTCTGTGGTTCCGGTCTTGCAGGTCCAGTTGGAGATAGATTCGGTCGTCGATGGACCATCTTTGCAGGATGTCTTATCTTTATACTCGGAGGCGGTCTCCAAACCGGTGCACAGCATATTCATCATCTTTGGGCCGGTAGATGGATTGCCGGATTAGGAGGTAAGATATCAAAACTTAGCAATTCTGCTTTAACGACCCATCACTAACAAACTATCATTAGTTGGTTTCCTCGTTATGATTATCCCCCTCTACCAAGCCGAAATCGCACATCCCAGCATTCGAGGTCGCATCACATCCTTACAACAATTCATGTTGGGAATTGGTGCTCTCGTCGCCGGGTGGATCAGTTACGGAACATATGTTGGCATCAAAGGCAACTCTGCACAATGGCGCTTACCACTGGGACTCCAACTGCTTCCCGCCGTTGTTCTCGCCGGTCTCATTTTCCTCTTTCCCGAATCTCCACGTTGGCTCATCGATCATGGATATCCAGACAAGGGACTCAAAACGCTCGCCAGATTGCACGCCCATGGGGATGAAAATGATCCATGGGTCCGAGCCGAATTTGATCAAATCCAAGACAGCATTACGTTTGAGCATGAGCATGAGGCAAAATCTTACTTGGAATTGTTCACGAACAAGTCATCTTTCCGTCGATTATTTATCGCGTGTGCCTTACAGGCATCGGTACAAATGACTGGTGTTTCCGCAATCCAGTACTATTCCGTAAAGATCTATGGACAGATTGGTATTGTAGGAAGTGATGCTTTGAAATATCAAGCTATCAACAATATCATTGCTTTGCTTGGGGAAGCGTGTTGTGTTTTGTTCATTGATAAGTTGGGACGAAGATGGCCTTTGATTTGGGGTAATCTATTTAATATGGTTAGTCATCCAATTCCTCACTTCCTATACATGCGAGATCACAAAATACTAACAATCGCTCCAGCTCACATTCCTCATTGCATGTGTCCTC